AATACAAAGTGAATATATGAAATATCATATATTTGAACTGCGGAGAAAGATATGAAGACATATCATTGTATAGCACTGCTCCGATATCGTAGAGGCTAATCCAGTTCAGGCCTGAATTTTTTTCAGGCTTTAATTTCACAACTGCTTAAGTTGTGTGTATAATTGCGATGATTAATCATATCTTCATATCTTTCTCCGCAGTTCAAATATATGATCTTTCATATATTCACTTGTAGGAGTATTGTAGTTACTGACTGAGCGTGAGATGGGAACTCTCGCAAGCTCTTGAGGAATAAGGTTATTGCACACGCAGTAGACTGACTGTTTTTGTCTTGTTTGTTTGTTTGTTTGTTTGTTTTTTTGGTTAGCCTCTCTTTGCGGTGACATCTTATGTACAGTTCTGGACTCAGACCGTCTTCTGGTAAGCAGAATATAGTTTGAATAATAAAACAAGTTGGCACTCGATTGCGCCTTGTACCCTATCCTGATTGTGAAATTTCTCGTCTGATTACATTTACTTCCCCAGGTCTCTGATGCAATTCAACATTTACAGTTTCTTCTCTCGGGGCAATACAGGTAAGTCAATTCCCAATGTTTTTCTTCGGGTTTTTTTCTTTAAATTTGTGTTTCGAATTATTTTCAGGTTAACGCACTCAGGGAGTGAATTATCGGGTTTTACTTGCACGAGTTCACTAACAATGAACGAGTACAGGTAAATCCCAATAATTCACGAGCAATGAGTGCGTTAACATTTTTATTATTCAAATTGAATACACTGCATTGAAATCACTATATTTGAGTCAGTCGAAGCCATGGTGTAATGACAGTGGTGTGTTGAATTTACACCGCGGCTATTACACCACGATATTGACGTCAAGGTGGTTGTCTCGTCACAACCCAGTATCACGTGGTACAAATCAGCCTATCAGAAAATCGGAATTCGTACTGTGTATGAAAGTTGAATAATAATAGGTGTTATTTTCCAACCAACACTTTTTTTTATTTCGTGCCCCATAGAAACGCTATTTATATAAATTGGTGGGGTTAAAAAGATATTGTCGGCGAATTTGTTTATAAATGAGAGAGTGGGAATTTAATGAGAATTTGATTAAATGAGAATTTTAGGGTATTAAAGAGCATGTTGTGGTTGAGTTAGCAGTGTCCAGGGCAGGAAAGGTATTTTGAAATCCAGTTGCCCAGTGGGCCAGTACATTTCAGTTTTCAGTTGCCCCCACTAAAATATTACTTGTCCAATTGGCGCGATGATAAAAAGAAACGCAGAATGTTTGCGTTTTCGTTGCCATCTTGAATCTACGGCGTGCTTTATTAATAGTGCCAGACTTCTGGCCAATATGGCGGCCGATATGGCGATCGGAGGACGTTTGGATTTTAAATTAATCCATGCTTTCAACTCATTATTTTATTATGCAAACCCCCGACTGTGTCCCGGGTTTGCATAAGTGTTTCGAATTCTCCGAACCCTCCTCGTGTTTAGACGAGGCTATGTAAACACGGAGGAAAAACTGCTCTATTTGCTTAAATATTTAATCCTTGTTTGATTTAGCCCTAGCAGCAGATGAAGAGCAGACAGTCCCGTGCCACCAGCAATTGAGGTTTTATAAAGGAGACTGGGAAAATCGAACGATCCATAATCCTGGTGAGGGGTGTTGTTTACTCAAACCAGCGTAGTGATAAAAGTGATTATTATACATTGAACTCACTATCTCTTTTCGGACTAGCCGAAAACGTACAGTGAATTTTCGAAATCAGCACCTGTGACGTCATATAACTGCAGATTATACAATAATCATGTCCAGGACACTCAAGGTCACGGGTAATCATGTCGTGTATGACCGCGGTGCATGATTTCTAAGGGTAATCATGTCAAGTTCGCGCGCTTTGTGTAGCTTACCGTCAGTGGAGAAGCAAAAACATGACTGTCGTGCCCTTTTTGTTTTTCGTTATTAGACTCGTCATTAGATTCGGTTTTGTGACATCCAGAATAATCAAGGTCCCGGTAAGGGTTATCAGCCTCAGTCTTCGGCTTCTGGCCTTTTGATAACCCCGACCTCGACCTTGATTATTCTGGATATCACAAAAGCCTCATCCAATAATTGTTTATAAACAGTGGAATAAAGTGGACCCGTTCTCCCAGGTAAAATAAAGCAGGTCGAATTAGTTAACACGATTTAAATTCTCGGCCATGACGAACACTTTGCTTTGTTGCGTTTGTAGCGAGGATGAACATGTTTGGCACAAAGTTTGTAGGCGTTTCCGCTCTCAAACATTATCAAACCGAACCAACACGTTCAAAAAAATTAAAACGGTGGTCAATGTACCTCGCTACACCGAACTAGTTCACAGGCATGTCAGTTAAACTGAAAAATAAATATATCAACTATTATAATAGGCTTAAAAATCCCAACTGGCGGGAGGCAGACCAGTTGGCTATTTACAAGCATGACCGAGGAGTTGAACTAGGGTCTACCGAGAAACAGCGCCAGCTTTAGTGGTGGTCAGAGTGGGACTTGAACCCGCGACCTGTAGATTTCAAGTCTGGCGCCCTAACCTCTCGGCCACGCTGTCTACTCTACATGTTTCTCGTCTCAGTTAATTATTTTTTACATAGTCCCTCTACTGATCTGATATTTCTTATGGTATTATTTGCGAGAATTTAAATGCAGATAATTTCAGTCCTTAATTCTCGTAACTTGTTTGCCTGATTGTGTGTTGAAATTAGAAGAAGAAATATGATGTTGATCACAAGGCTTTTATATCAGCACATGTTAATGTTAAACAATTCTTTCTTTTCTCACCTTTCCTAGAGGAGTTGAATTGTTTGGATGGCGACAATTGTGAATGGTAAGATGCGGTTGGTGATTTGTGTTTCCTAGTTTATGTGTGTTTAGGTCTATAGCCAGTTAGTCTGAGTATCAAGCATTCCTAAGAGAGGGGGAGATGGGAAGACGAGTGAAGCTTTCTCTTGTTTTTTCCTCCCCCTCCCCCTCCCCTTACCTTTGGAAAAGCCTGATTCTCAGGTTAGAGGCCAGTATAAGTGGCTCGTAAATCGAAGTGGATCATTTACTGGGTTTTGTCATTTGTGTTTTTGTGTACCTCTAAAGTCTTGAAATTAATAGTGACTCACGCCATAAGTGTTAGCTACTGGACCCGCGTTCAAATAAATAGGAGAAGACAACTTTGGTTTAACAAGTGAAGAAGACACTTGACATTCCTGCGAGTGTCAAACCAATGATTGTCTTCTCGAAATCTTGGTTTCTGAGCAGGGAAAGAAAAGGAAACCTGGAAACAAGGCGAGAACAATCCGAACCCGACCAACCCATGCCGAACGGTACTCCTTTACAAGGGCCTCACACGAGAACGAGCCGACGAACGCTTCTTATTCTTGCACTTGGCTCGTTCTTCCGACTCACCTGTGAGGCCCTCCTGTGAGGCCCTAGGCATAAGCGTTTGTTGCTGTTTTTAGGCCTGTGTTCATGGCGGCAGTTGAGGGCAGCAATCTTCGAGTGGTGATGGTAAAGCGGAGACGGTGCTGCGAGGAGAATGAAAACACGAAGCTCACAACTAAACCAGAAGATAGTATCCTTTTTATGTGACTTTTGTTTCTAAACTTAGAAGTGTCGCGATGTAAGTTAACAGTATAATTTCAATCCATGAAAAAAAAGCAACTAACAACAGATTTGAGCTTAAAATTAACTGAGTCGTGTTAACGTTCCTGAAATGGAATTTTAAACTTTGACAGTCTGTTGTAGGATGGGTTGTAAATACTGAAGTCCCAAAGTACTAAATATAACCGTAGCAGAGAGAAATGCAGAGATCACAATGAGCCGATGAAAAACTATCATATACTGTAATGCGCACTTTCTGAGAATAAGCACACAGGTATGAATCACAAGTATATTGATTGTCAATAAGGGTAACTTTGGGCCAGATCGAGGCAGAACGAATTTTATTCGTAAAATTAACTGAAGTGAAAATATATCCAGTCTACTTGATCTAGCGTTACGCTTACATTACACTTGTTTGGTTTGGCAGTGGATTTCTTCGCACTAAACAAGTGACACGAGGCAGCCCAGGCATAGGGCCTTTGATTTCTTCACGTCGCGATGTTTTTTTTTTTTGGTCTGTATCGGGGCTGGCCTGGTCTTTGATTGTTCTTTTGTTCGAGTTCCTTAACCAGTTGTTTCACGGTACAGTTCTGCCCAGTGTGCCAGTCCCAAGTAACGTGTCTTACAGGAAGCCGCCGGAATTCAAGTCTCCTTGTGATGACATGCATGAAGAGGTACGATAACCATGGAAACAAGCTAAACCCCGCATAGTAGTGATAGTCCAAGAGTTTCATTAAGGGCCGGACACCGGGCAAATAGACCGGCTGTGGGGATGATTTTGCCCGCCTGCTTTGACTATCTAGAGAGGAGCTTTTGCTGCAAAGAAGATAAGTTCAAAAAGTTTTGCCTTCCTATGAAAACCAATTGCCCTCCAGCTGAAATGTTAATGAAACCACCCGCATTTACAAACATTGCAACCCGTCTTTCCGACACTTAATGATGTTACACTCCTCTGTGCACTTGTTAAGAGATAAGCGACGTCCGGCATTTGATAAAAGAAAGACTGATTAGCTCCTGAGTCGATGTTTTTTGCAGTATGGTCTTAAGTTTCTTGTCTCAAGCCGTTTTCCGTCAACGTTATTTGTTTCTTTACACCCTCTCATCTTATTTTTTGTTTTTCTTTTTGGCGTGCCGTTGTTTCCGTGTCATTTATTTGTATTTCCTCGACACGATCTTGATAGTCAAAGCGTAAACGATACAGCTCTCTTGATGGGGATGTTACGCTCGTAGAGTAAATGTCTAGAGAAAATATGTTTAAACATTTAAAAAAAATTGATTTTCCCATTAGCCGAAAATGGAAAACGTTATGACCTTAAGTTTTTCGTAGTGGAGTGCGCGCTAAGTAAGGACAGAGCTACCTTAACTAATACCCTTATTGATGATCATGAATTGTTTTGTTTTAGGGTAAACCTCCGTGTGCCTTGGCAAGCTTCGCTTCCCCTCAGGGCATATTTGTGGTATTTCTCCTCATAGTGGCATCGCTTATTCCTTCTAATAGCCACTGGAGATGAGAAATTCCGCCAGAACGGCTTGGAACTACACCGAATATTTAAAATAAACGTTATTGTAACTTTAGAACTTAAAATGCTTGAAGGGACAGACTGTGAGAAGTTCTTCAGCATTACCGCGACTTTGTAAATAACTTGCCTGGTTTTCTACATTTTCAATGAGAAGCAGAAACAGTTGTATGAGGAGACAGTAAAGAGTTCTGTTGCTTGACAGAAGGAGAAGCTAACAACAGAAGGAACGCTCATATTAAGAAACTTTTCAAACGTTCTGACACTTTGACGTCCTTGATTGCCTGGAAATGGTTAGAAAGGAAATGAAGCTAAGCTTGTAAAATAATCTTTATCAAAACTATTTATATTGCTCAGCAAGTGTTCTTGTCTTGTTTTTCCATGTAACAACTTTTGAAGTTGAAATAACTGAATTGACGTTTTGAACTCGCTGAAGTCGAACTGGATGTGTCGCGCAAAATTCAATGATCGGTTTGCAATTTGTGATTTTATATTTCTTCTTCTCGGACGAAGATACTTTTTGAAGTAGAATATTTCAAGGCCAGCTTCATTGTTGCTTTTAGGGCGTATTGCACGTAATGTTGGCGAGTTTTCTGCACATTGGATTGTAGTCAACACGACTTCAGATGTGAATTGTTATTGTCGAATTAGTTCCTCTTTAAAATGTCTCTTGATTTTAGCTTTGAAAGTTCTTGCCTCCTGGTTATCAGACCATGTCGGAAGAACGCAGAACTCTGTTGGTCGCATATTTTGGCAGGACGTTTAAGCAATCATTTTCAAAGTCCGTTTTATAATTCCTTAATAATTGCCTTATAGATTTTTTTACAATGTAGTGCGACTGTTATAATTGTTTGCTAATGGCAGAGAATACAGTTCAAAATACGCGGCTAATTGATGTTTACATTGGTCTATGATACGACCTGACAAACTGTGTTCCTATTTGTAATCACAATAGAGTTTCTCACATGAAACAGTTTGTATTTGTAACGTTTTAGACCTCTTTGCAGTCCGTGACTTAATTTATACTGCAGTTGTATTAAAGAAGTAAACCATTCAAAAGTCTTGTGTTTGTGAGAAAATGATGGGTCACTTGCCACAAGAGGCATTTTGTTTACATTGTGTAAGCGTCAATGTTTCTGAACTGATTTACTCTTTCTGTACCCCGTGGTATGCGGGCATTGCGCACCATAAACGTAATCTTGTTGCCAGACTATCATTGCAGCAAGCCGCGAGGACAACCTGATTTAAAAGAAAAAGCGTTATTTGATGCCAATTTTTGGCGGAGGTGGAAAGAAAATTTAAGAACTGGTTATTGAGCTTCTTGCGTTGCAATTTTACGACGAATTGGTTTCTAAAGAGGCGGTGTAATGTGTAGGGGAATAATAAAGTTAACTGTTATCGTAAGTTGGGTTTTACATTATTCTTCTTGGGGGTTTTTACAGGAGCCATGTCACGATCACCCAAAAAGCGAGGATAACTGTGAGAGTTCTTTATTCAACGTTCCCTTCACTTCAATGCACGATTTCGTACTGAAACTTGTGGTTCAGTAGATCAACTATTGCGAAACTCTCTTTACGATCAAATCATAAAAACCTTCAAATTTCAATCACACTTCTTACTTCTCATTTGAAACTGAAGATTTCAAATCTGAGACTTAAAATTAACACACCAAAAACCGCACTCATGCCACTCCACCACAAGCAGGCTATTTGATGACAAACTGATGAACAACTAGCAGGAATGAGCAAAACACTCGTACGATGCGTGACACTGCCGATAATTTGGATATAAGGTTCAAAATGCTCTTCAAAGTGTCAAATTTTTTCTGATAAACTAAACGTTTCGGGCTTAACCCTCCTTCAGTAGGTGGAATGATTGAACAACTATCTTGCACAAGGAGTACAAAAACGTCGAGTGGCTCCATATTGCGAAAGTTCCTGAGTGAGCCAGTAGGCCATTTCCGAGTTACCACTCTGTTTCAACATGAGTTCTCGTGCAAAACCTTTCATATGAAAATAAATTTGATTTGCATAAAAATAAACCTGTAGGCCGAACACATTTTCTTGTGAGTGGTTTCACAGGTAAACTCGTTTTGAAAAAGAGGCTAACTGCAACTCCGAAATGACCTACTGGCTTTCAAGGCTTTGTCCTCTAGTAATCAAACACCGACTGGATTCAAGTCCTTTAATAAATTATTGCTATCTACAAAAATTTACAAAGTAAAGACAAGCTGGAAAGACTCGCTTGCTTTAGTGTTATTAACAACTTCCATTACCCTCCAAAATAAGTTCACTTCTTCCTCCCACAACCTATTTGGCTATAAGAGTATTCCACGTACAAAAGATGACTTAAATCTCTATAGGCTTTATAACTGGTTTTCTTATGTGACGCATCGTAGACCCGGGTTCCGTGGGTTTAAATGGTGCCAATGAACCATAGGGCCTTGGGATGGGTAGCTCTGAGTCATCATCCGGGATATAAGCATTGGGTCGAGGCTCTGCAGTGGTGAAGACACCGCCAGGCAGAAGATAATGTTCCTCCTCTTCCTCGCGCTGTTGAAAATTAAAAGAAAGTTTTCTTAGACAGGGTGGGTGAAGGCAAAACCTTTTTACCGATTTCACGCTTTTCCGATTTTTTTATTCAAACAAAAAATAAACCGCACCGCTCGATTTTAGCCCAATTATGCCGAATTTAGTTTGACTAGAAGAAGTTGCAAACTAATAAAAATATTGGACCCCTAAGTTGCCAATTTTTTTTTT